GTGTGGGCCTCGCCTGCCTTGGTTCCCGCTGTGTCCCAGTGCCTCGTGTAGTCTGCACTTGAGTATTTGTGCGATGGATGAACCAAGTTGAACAAAAAATGCCAAATGCCTACTATGGGAAGAACACAATGTCTCTTGTGGTATTCCTGCCAAAAATCCATTTTCTGAATCTAACCATGAAAAAATATCAGAGAAACTCAAATTGAGGGGCATTCTGCAAAATAAGTGGCCTGTACATTTCAAAAGTATCAAGGTCGTAAAAGGCAGAGACTAAGGAACTGTTCCAAATTGAAGGCGTCGGAAGAGCCTGGTAACTGGACACAACTAAATACCAGATAGGATCCTGGGCCAGGGAAGGAAACGGTGGTTTCTTATGGTATAAAGGACATTCATTAGGACAATTAGAAAATTTTGAATAAGGCCTGTAAATTAGTAATTGTACTATTTAAATCTAAACTTCCTGATTTTGATAATAGTATTATGGTTATATAAGACAATGTTCTTGTGGTTGGGAAACAGGCACTGAGAATTTAGGGGTAAACGGCATTGTGTCTGCAACTCACTTTCAAATGGTAAGTATACATACATACACACACACACACACACACACACACACACATATGTATATATACATATATATACACCAAAAAAAAAACCCAAACCCGTTGCTGTCGAGTCAATTCTGATTCATAGCAACCCTATAGGACAGGGTAGAACTGCGCCATAGAGTTTCCAAGGAGCGCCTGGTGGATTTGAACTGCCGACCTTTTGGTTAGCAGCCATAGCTCTTAACCACTACACCACCAGAGTTTCCACACACACACATATATATATATAGTATTCTCTAATTGCTGAAGCCTTTTATGTTCTTTTGTACAATTTCATAATTGTCTTCATATAGATCTTTATATTGTTGGTGACATTTATTCCCAGGTTTCTTAATATTTTTGTTGCTTTTTAAATATATGACAGCTTTATTGAGGTACAATTTGTATACCGTACAATTTACTCTGAGCATCTTTTTTTTTTTAATTATTGTACTTTAGATGAAGGTTTACAGAACAACCTAGCTTCTCATTAAACAGTTAGTACACATACTGTTCTGTGACATTGGTTACGAACACCACAACATGTCAACACTCTCCCTTCTCAACCTTGGGTTCCCTGTTACCAGCTTTCCTGTCCCCTCCTGCCTTCTAGTCCTTGCCCCTGGGCTGGTGTGCCCCTTCTGAATATCTTTTTAAATATATTTAGATTAAAAAAATAAACCATTACCTGTCGAGTTGACTCCAACTCATGGTGACCCTATGTATGTAAAAGTAGAACTATCTCTGAAGACTTTTTTCTTTTTTAGTCTCTCATACAAAAATTTATACATACATTGTTATGTGACCCTAGTTGTTCTCCCTGTAATGTGACAGCACACTCCTCCTTTCC